GACCCCTGACACTGGAAAGAAATAAAGACAATAATCTCTCTGAACCCAGCCTGGGGAGGCTTCGTCCCCGAGCAGGGACGGTGCGCAGGTGACGGGTGCCCACTTGGCTCATTTCAGGTTCATCTTCAAGCCAAAGACAGAAACCCAGATCACCCCAGGCCCTGATCGTGCACAATCAGTCACAGATGGTGGCTCCACATGGTGGCTCGGGGACTTCTCCCTGCACCACCAGAAGCCAGGCAGGAGCAGGAGGCGCGGGGCGCAGGGGGGGGGGGGGCTCATCTTCTGTGGGATTCTGAGAACAGATGGTCCCAACGCAAATTTCTGGGGATCCACTGTGATGTATTTCACAGCGCCTCGACGTCAGAGCCACTGAGAACCCGCCGCGTGGATTCCCACGCTAAAGGGGCAAAGCTCAAAGCTGTGCGGCACACTGAGATGAGGTCACAGCCAGAGGGGGAACCAGAAACACGAGCTCCCTCCTGCAGCTTCTTACCAGGCTAAGGGAAAATGCTGTCAGCACTGTGAAGGTGCCGGGGACTCCCTGCAGACCTACCCAGGTGAGCCCCGCCAGGTCCCAGGTGAGCCCCAGGGTGGCAGCATCCCCCAGAGCCAGGACCCTGGAGCCCCACATGCTCCAGCGAGTCCTGAGGGGGGACGGGGTGCAGGAACAGCCAGCCTCGGCAAGCCATCCAGATGCTCCCGTGAGCTCTGTTGGCATGACACGTCAACAGTCAGTCACACAGGCACGAAAAAGAATCCAAGCTACACCGGAGACCCAGGAAAGAACAGATCAATGACAAAGCAGAACATGAAATCCGAAGGTGTATCACCTACCCAGACACAGACACGGAGCTACCGGTGGCCTGGAAGCAAAGTGACACAGAGAAGCAGCCAAGGGCACCCTTCAAAACACACCATTAAGTGTGGGATGACGCAGGGACACATGTCCAGGTTGTCCCGCTCCTTTCTGGGCTGAGTCTACTCCCCAGTCTCTCATCAGGAGTACAGATTCCCACATGGGTTATTTTTTATTCATCTTTTTACACCATTGCCCACAAAGGAAGCATTGGGGTCACCCGATCTCAACTGTCTCCACTTCCCAGTGACAAAGGACTCTGTGACAAAGACCAAGCATCACACCACAGTGCACTGCAGGGTGGGGACAGGACGGGAGTGCAATTTGTTCAAATGAAAATACAAGTTTGAGTCCAATTCTTAGCAAATGATAGGCCAACAGGGCTGACACCTCGAGGAGCAAACAGCCCTCACCAAACTGAACCGAGAAGTTACACTAATGGTGATTCGCTTCTAAATTAAAAGCAACAGCAGCGGTGAGGAAAAACCACGACCATCTCTAGACAAGGAGCAGGGGACTCCCACAGCCCACTCCCTCCACCTCTTCACGGACACGTGGGCAGACAGACCTGGGAGCATCCGCAGTGACTGAGCGGAATCCAGATTCTTCCAGCATCCTGCCTGAGGGCCCTCAAACTCTAGAAGTGCACTCATTTTAGTTTACAAATAAAAATCCTTAGCAAAGCCACCCTTAATAGCTTGCTTAGGTAACTAGCATCCCTTAATGATCTCTGCAAATGAAGTTTGGGGAGTTAGCTATAGGTACATCCTGCGCCCACAGAGTATAGAAATAGCTCTAAATTAAAAGCAAGGAAATCACAATGTTTTAAAAATACGCAAGAAATCCTGATTTCTGGTGTCTGAGGGGCCCTGAAGGCTTTTGGTCTAGCCTCAGCCCTGAGGGTCCTGAGCTAGACCTTTTGCAATACTGCATCCTCTAGGCAGCGGGGTTGGGAGCTTTGGCTTCTACACGCCAATCACAGGCAAGATGAGTAACCCAGGGCACCCCGGCCCCCTGCCCGGGTCAGGCAGAAACCGCTGACTGGCAAAAAAGTCTTCTCACTACTTCTGCAGGGCCTGGAGCAACCACTGCAAACCCTTCTCGTGCCAGGTTTGGGGATCTGTTCGAGCTGCCTCATCTACCCAGAAACATGCAGACCCTTCCCACCTACCTGTGTCCCCTGGTCTTATGCCACCCGTGCGTGCCCAGTCACGTCCTTCCCCAGCTTCTGAGTGAGCCCACAGCTCAAGCCCCCAGCCTCTCTCTAGTGGCACCTCTCTTGGGTGGAGGGAGCAGGGATTTTGCCCAGAAGCAGAAGTGCCTCGTCTGATGGAGTCTGATTGATCTTCCCCCCTATTTCACCCATCATTAAAAATCTAACATTTAGGAAAAAACATGTGAACGATATTGCCGGCATCCTACATGAGGCATGTGTGAAGTAGATATTTGGGGTTCAGAGTAGTGTTAAAGGTTATTTGAGTGAGAATCAGAATTTCTCCTGAAATCACACCACCCCATCCTAATCTCCCTTATGATTATTTTGAACACAATCTTATGTAGGCTTAAGTGTCACAATAAAAACAATAATATTACAGTCGCGGTAACTGCCCATCTGGATCACTATTTCACTGCTGGCAGACGTCTGGGTTTCTTGAGCATTTTTAAAACATTGCAAATGGATGTGATTTCCTCAAGCCAAGAAAAACATGCTAATTTATAAAGAGAAAGTGACAAAAAAAAAAAAACCCTGGGAGAATTAAAGATAAAAGAAAATTAGGAATCACATCGCCGTGTCTATCAGGATGAAACCGGACGCTGAACAGCACTGGACACTGTGGCCGTGGACTTCAGTAGGTGACCAGGCCCCTTTCTGATGACAGCACCCACCTAGACACGCTCCCCTGAATCATCATGCTGCAGGGGACAGTTGGTAACCATGGCAAGGACAGTGACAGAAGCTCTGAGGACCTCCAGGCAGCACCTATTCCTTAGATACATCCAGAAGAGGCGCTGGCCATGACAGTCTGGATTCTAACATGAGGGACAAGGAGAGTCACGCTAACTGACTGCTTCACCCTCTCTGCTCTTGGCCACCTAAGAGGGCTCCGCTGTGCCTCTGTTCAGATGCGTCTGGACCTCTGCAGGCTGCTGTCACAAAATTCCTTCCACCCGGTCACTTGTACATGACAGAAATCTACTGCTCACAGCTCTCAAGGTGGGGAAGTCCAAGATCAAGGCACCAGTGAATCCAGGTCAGGTGAGGCCTCTCATACTTGGTGGCTTCTGTGGGACTTCACAAGACAGGAGTGGCAAACAGGCTCCTATCAGACTCTTCTGGAAGCGCACTGATCCCTCGTTCACAAAAGGCCCTACCTTCTCAAATGACCACCCCAGGGAGGAAGTCTCCACATTTGAATTCCAAGGGGTACGGCGACGTCCTTCTGCAGCCAGGCAGCTCCTGTTGCCAGGCCCCGGACGTTTCTGCAGAGAAATGCTGGGTATTAGAGGGCCCCCTGCAGCAACTGTGAGCCCAGGATGAGACGTGGTGTTAGAGCCAACTCTGCCACCACCACCCACACGGAGACGCCGCGGCCTCCATATATAAACCCACATGCTCCTTACCGTGGAAAATAGCCCCCGAGTACCACGATCAGGGCCCAGAGCCCAGGGACAGGCTGAGGGGCTCCAGAGAGACCTGATGAGGTTCCTGCCAGGCTGAAACCCAGCCAGGCTGACAAGACCCAGACCCTCGGGAAAGGAAACACATTCTCTGTTCTCATCTCGTCTTTCAATGAGCCTGCATTAGAAATGAGAAATTAACCACCCAAGACTCATCTGTTTCCTAAACCCTGACCTCTGGATCCAGAAATCCCGTCTTCCTTCTAGATCTCACTAGGGTGAGTTTCGGAGAATGTTGAAAGAGAAGGGTCAAGAAAATCAGTAGTGTCCTGGGGAGGAGGAAAGAGCTGGCTGAGACAGGGGCCTGCTGGGGCATCCACGTGTGGCCAGCGCAGGCGGCCATGGTGGGCACAGTGGGCAGCTGTCAGCACTGGCCACGCTTGGAGTCTCACCCAGCAGCCATCAGAGGGCGCCACGGCCCACACCGCCTCACGGCTGGCACCTGACAGGGAGCTCGCTGGGAGGTTGCTGAGAGCCTCTGCAACAGCACAGGAAGGAAAGATGGCCCTGCTCTACCCAGGGGTCCCCTGGCACCAGACCAAGCGAGCCAAGAGGCACAGCTACCAAACAAGACAGGGCGGAAATGAGCGGGAGAGGATGCTGGGGAATTGGAGTCACGGGCCACGCGGGAGCCCAAGGGTGAGGGAAGATGTGAGCAGCAAGTTTAGGAGCCCAGGGAAGGCACAGGAAATGAGACCTGCTAACGAGGTGACGGCAGAGGCCCCAGGGACTTGGGGCAGGGAGGAGGCCACACTTCTGGAGCAACTGAGACAAGGAACACTGGGGGAAAGAGTCACAGCTAGGCACAGGGAAGGTGGCTTTGCCATGCAAGAGCCAAGTGACCTGAACCAGTCACTATCCCTCCACCCCCAAGGCCACACAATCACCTCCATCTAGGTCCTTGCAGGCAGGCCCTGCTGGGGGTGGTAAGGGAGGGCCTCTGGTGGGCTGGATTTCCAGGGGCTGAGTTGGCCCTGGCTGGGCAGACCCCCAGGGAGGACAGTCCCCCCAGGAGCAGTAGGTCACGGGGCAGCCTGGTGTTTTGGGAATGAGATCTGGTTCAGACCCCGCTAAGCCTCTCCTCGTCCAGTAGCACTGTCAGGGAGCCTCTGTGCTCCCCTGGTAAAGGGGGCGGGGTGTTCACTGCAAGGGCGAGGAAGCCTGAGGCCAGCTCCCGACCAATGCCGGAGGGACCCACTGGTTTACCTTGATGTTTCATAAGGAAGGCGCCACGTGTGTGGGAATCCAGAGCGCAGCAGGGTGAACCTCCCCGTGTCACCAGACAGCTCCAGCCGTTGGCTCACGTGGATCTGGCTGCACCACATCCTCTGCTCTCTCTCTCACACACACACACACACACACACACTCACACACACGCAACTCTGCTGCCTCCCCTCAGCTAACTCTAGAGCAAATCGGGGTTGTCGTGCCATTTCAGGAATGGTGGAGCGCATTTACCTACAGTGAGTCGCCTCTGATGGTGTTTGAAGCAGCAGGTCTGGAGGGGACATGCCCTCTGCTGTGGTGTGGGTGACTGGGTGTCAGATGTCTCCGGAATGCCAGTGTCCCCAGGGCCACCCTGGGGTCTGAAGCCATTATCCCAGACACCTGCACACTACCAGCCCTGATGCCCTCCTGACATCACAAGCCCCAGAACCACCTCCTGGAACAGGATGATTGCCCTGGACGAACAGATGGGTGGGGACACCTCTGACGTCCTCTTTCCTGCTCCTTGACTACTGGGAGGCAGGTGCACGTCCCTGGGGGCCTCACGGATATAGATGTTAACTGGCCATGAGCCAGGGGAAGGGCCAGGCCACGGTCAGCTAAGGTCCATCCTGGAGGACCAGTCAGAGCCTGTGGACCTTCTTCAACCAAAAAGGAGGCCAGGAGGCGGCCACCAGCAGCCACAAAGAACCATAGAGGGCAGAGCAGGAGCCAGGCTTGGGACCAGAAGCTGCAGAACCACCAGCCTCACCCCTGGTCCCGGCTGGGAAGACCCCCCTTCTGCAGTGTCAGGGAAGGGACCCACCCTCAGGTGTCTCCTGCACTCTTCAGATCTAAATCTCACAACATTCTCTGAGGTGCCTCAAGATTCAGGCAGGTGACAACAGAAGAAAAGCATGCAGGAATGGGACAGCAAGGGAGGCTGGGTGACAACCCCAGGAGAACATTAAGTGCAGTGTTCAGAGTTTACCAATGGCATGCACGGCCCAGACTCCCGGGGACCCAGCTATCCCACTTCTGGGAACTCGCCCTAAAGAACTGAAGGCGCTGGCTTGAAGCAGAGAGCTCCGCCCACGAGAGCTCCGCCCACGAGAGCTCCGCCCACGAGAGCACCGCCCACGAGAGCTCCGCCCACGAGAGCTCCGCCCACGAGAGCTCCGCCCACGAGAGCTCTTTTTTTTTTTTTTGGCTCATAATTTTTTTTTTTTAATTTTTTATTGTTGGCTGTTCAAAACATTACATAGTTCTTGATATATCATATTTCACAATTTGATTCAAGTGGGTTATGAGCTCCCATTTTTACCCCATATACAGATTGCAGAATCACATCAGTTGCACATCCATTAATTTACATATTGCCATACTAGTGTCTGTTGTATTCTGCTGCCTTTCCTATCCTCTACTATCCCCCCTCCCCTCCCCTCCCCTCCCCTCTTCTCACTCTGCCCCCTCTACTGACATTCGTTTGTCCCCCTTGTATTATTTTTCCCCTTCCCCTCACTTCCTCTTGTATGTACTTTTGTATAACTCTGAGGGTCTCCTTCCATTTCCATGCATTTTCCCTTCTCTCTCCCTTTCCCTCCCACCTCTCATCCCTGTTTAATGTTAATCTTCTTCTCATGCTCTTCGACCCTACTCTGTTCTTAGTTACTCTCTTCATAGCGCTGTTCACTGCAGTGGCTGCTCCACCACCATAGACTCAGGAAGATGCTCCTCCGGAGACCCTCGCCATACTGTTCTTATTATGTTAATAAGAACAAAAATTCTTATGTTAATAAGGACAAAAATGTCTGCAAAGATGGGCTGGGCTCTGGCTCAGTGGTGGAGCGCTTGTCTAGCATGTGTGAGGCACTGGGTTGATTCTCAGCACCACATAAAAATAAAATAAATAAATAAATAAAGGTCCATCAACATCTAAAACAATTTTTAAAAAAATGTCTGCAAAGAGCTCAGTGTGCTTTGAAACTTTCTATCTTCTGTAAGGGCTAAGTTGCTCTCTCACAAAAGCTAAATTTGCCTGCAAACTGGATGATGTACAAGAATTGTCACTTCTGCTTTCTGTGGTTAAAAAGTTGCACAACCTTGGCCTAACCTAAAACTACGGGACAAAGAGTAACTGTTATGTCACCCACCCACCGACCCAGAACCACCCCCCTGAGTATAAAGAATAAAGAATTTCCAGACTCAAGGCCCAGCGATTTTTAGGTGATAGCCACTCTGGACCGATGCAGCTAATAAACCTGCTTCCTGTTGATTGCTCGGGTGTCCAGCCTCCTCTGTCCTCCACCAACAACAGCCTGAGAGGCAGAAGCAACTCGAGTGTCCGTGGCTGGATGAACGGACGAATACCTGGTGTATGCATGGAAGGGAACCATGACCCAGCCCTAAAGAGGAAGGAAATCCTGATGCACAGGACAACCCAGAGCAGCCCTGAGGACAGTACACCAGGGGACACAAGCCAGGCACCACGGGCCAGATCCTGAAGGTTCTGCTCACTTAAGAAACTTCAAATGGTCCAAACCACAGGGACAGGAAGTAGATTGTGGTTACCAGGGACTTGGGGGAGTTGATGTTTCCTGGGTACATAGTTCTGGAGGCGGCGGTGGTGACGGTGGCACAGCCATGTGAACGCACTCAGTGCCACTGAGCTGTGCACCTAAAAATGGTTAAAATGGTAAATTTCATGTTGTGCATATTTTACTACAATAAAAATAATAAAAATCAGACAACTTATGGTAACCACTGGCCAGTAATTTTAAACAATATCAGTGATTAAAATACTCCTCTCTGGGGACAGGCCACTTCCACAGAGTCCCCTGCCACCCAGCCCCTGGGTATCCACCCTGGCTCCTGCCATTTCCTGTCCTCCCTTAGATGGTGAGGCTGGTGGAGGCCGGTCTTCCAGACTGAAGGCCGATTCCACAGGTACCAGGTATTAGAACCAGAGCAGGGCTCCCTGCCTGAGACGGGAACGTCAAGGTCGGCATGCATCTGTGCTCCCAGGCTTCTTTGAGGACACCTTCTGACAGCTATGGAGCCTTCCCCCACTGACCCAAAAGGTCACCACCATGGACCACCTGGAATTTCAACACCAGGAGTGACCCGAGCCTAGGGTGCAGGCCAGGCCCGGCAGTCGGCCCACACGGGAGGAGTCCTGCTTCTGTCCAGATAATCTGCTCACACGTGAGCCACGGATTAACAGCCACGGCCGACAAGCCCCTTCAGTAGGATGGGCTGGTGTCATGGCCGCCCTTCTTTTCTGATTTTTGCTGGCTTATCTGCCCTTTGGGGTGAGGGCAGAACGAGGTTGGCTTTCAGTAATCCTTCTGGTCAACAGCAGACACTGCTGAGGGCCTGCCATGCCCAGGGTCCTGTCAGCTCCCAGCTGGACCCAGCTCCCTGCTGGGTCGCAGGGACACACTGCAGAGGGAGAGCTGGGTGCTGCCTGCACAGTCTGTGAAGCTCATCTGAGCAGCCTAGGGGTGAGTCGGTTATGATCCCATTTTACAGCTAAGGAAACTGAGGCACAGAGAGTCTGGGCAACCGGCTCAAGGCTGCAGGTTCAAATCCAGGCTCTGTGTTGCCAAGAGCACTCCAGGGCTCATCACGACACCCCGTGCCGCGCCTGTCCCAGAGGGCCACTCCCCAAACACCCTCTGGGGAGTTGGAAACACCTAGAGGAAGGGAAGATCTTGAACCACCATGGGAAGCCCCCAAAACTCCTCAAAACAGGGTCCTGGAGTCGGACACTGACCTGCAGAGGGACTTCAGCATCTTAAAGATGCCTTTTAAGGAGTGCAGGGCCCATACCCTGCAGAGGGAGCGGCTTCCAAGCTCCTTGGGACAGGAGAACAGCCGCCCAGAGCCCCTCCTCCTCCACTACAGCCCTGCAGTCCTGGCACGGACCCCCGCCCTCCCCCCACATCCCAGGAGATGGGAAATCAAGGTCAAAAACAGCATTGAGGTGTAGGGTGCAGGGCAGGAGGGAGGCCAAGGAGCTGTCCATGTCCTTGACACCCCAGCTCCGCCTCACAAGACAGGGCCCAGGCTCCCCCTGAGCACCCAGGGAGAGAGCTCTTGCACAGAAGCCCTGGAATGTGTCCACATGGGCCTCATGCCTGGTGACCTTGACCACTCGCTGATCGCCAGGCATGGTTCTGAGACCTAAAGGCTGCTCCTTTACTACCTTTTATCTCTGAGTGCGATCCTTACCCCACCACGTTGCAGAGAGGGAAACTCAGGCTCAGAGAGGTTTAGTGACTTGCCTGAAATCACACAGTTAGCACTAGCAAGAGCCAGCATTCAAAAAGCAGCGCGCTGCACCATGCTCAGACTCTCGAATATGCCACTCCTCTTACAGTGGCCGATCTGAGCCAGGAGAGAAGAAAGAGACAGGGGACAGGGAGGTAAAGAATCGATGGCTCTCCTTTGCTGGTGCAGCCAATGAGATCATTCACAACCAACCCCTGTGAATAGCTTTCTGACAACACAGGTTTAGTGGGCACTGAGAGCCTCCTGGTCCTCTAGAGGCTGCCTAGAATGCCCCCTCCAGGAAGCCACCCAGTATTGGCCTGTTGAGCCTTTAAACTTGCTGCCTTTTTCCTGAGCCCCAAGACCTCTCCTTACACCTGATTGACAGCCGCCTGCTTGACGTCGGATTTCTTACTCAATTCACCTTTATATCTCCTGCCCCATGCTGCAGGCCTCCTGCACATGCTGATGAAGTTTCTAGAAATCAGAATGGATCTTTAAGCCTTCCTTGTATTAACCCTCCCCGAAACAACATCAGCTCTGGAATACGCCTGAGGTCGTGCTGTGCACCCCTCGCCTCTGGTCTTGACAAACACAGTCCTGAAACTTAAAGTAAATTCTAATTACAGAAGCGAGGCCGAGACTTCGGCCTGAGAAAGCCTTTCTTATGCTGATAATTTCCAACACTACTTTACCCAGAGGCCCTGCCCGTGGGCCCTTCTGGGGACCTGCGGAGTATATTTCATGCTTCAGTTGAGGGGAAAAAAAAATACCCGGGACCAGACAGAGATATTCACAATGCCTGGGCAGTAATCAAAATTCATTTGGTTCAGTGTTTACTCGGCTCCTATCTCAATTGAGTCATGCCAGAGTCATTAAACGGTTTGCTCCAGATGCATCCTGGCGTGGATTCAGAGCTGAAAGCCGGCTCTCGGCTGTGGTGAGGGTGAGCCAGGCACGGCTCTGGGACACGCTGACAGCAAGGGCCGTCTGGAAGCATCTGTCGCCTTCACTCATTTATAACTGTTGGCCGTCCTGTGGGCGCCGTGCTGTGGGCGCCGTGCTGGGCTGAAGCAGCTACTCAGGGGCTCACGCAGTCTCCCTCGCCCTTGGCCACTTCCCAGTAGAGCAAGGAGGCCAGCTGGGGAGAGCAGGTGGCCCTGGGCTTGTGCCTGCAGCCGG